GGGGCTGGGTTTGAACCCACCACTCCAGCATATGGGACCGGCGCCTTACTCCTTTGAGCCACAGGTGCCACTCAATTGGAGAGCTTCTTAATCATGCAGGGTTTTGAGTCACACCTAGCCCTTCTGAATCAAAATACTATGGGTGGGGCCAGGTATCCCCATCCATTATTTAAATGTTTGCTGATTTATTGATTTATTTATTGAAACAGAGGCTCACTTCACTCTGTTGCCCAGGCTACAGTGCCATGGCATCAGCCTACCTCACAGCAACAGCAAACAAGTTCAAGAGATTCTTCTGCCTCAGCGTCCTGAGTACCTGAGACTATTGGCACCTGCCACAACACCTGGCTAATATTTTTATTTTTAGTAGAGACAGGGTCTTGCTCTTACTCAGGCTGGTCTCCAACTCCTGAGCTCCTGCATTGGCCTCCCAGAATGCTAGGATTATAGATGTAAGCCACCACACCCAGCCCTATCATTATTTTTTTCAGTTTTTGGCCGAGGCTGGATTTGATCCCACCACCTCCGGCATATGGAGCCAGTGCCTTACTCCTTTGAGCCACAGGTGCTGCCCTGGCCCTATTATTTTTTTGAAGCAGAGAGAGAAAGTCTTGCTCTGCTGCCTAGGCTAGAATGCTATGGCATCAGCCTAGCTCATAGCAACCTCAAACTTCTCAGTTCAAACAATCCTCCTGCCTCAGCCTCCTGAGTACCTAGCACTACAGGCACCTGCCACAATGCCCAGCTAACTTTTCTATTTTTAGTAGAGACAGGGTCTCACTGTTGCTCAGGCTGGTAATGAATTCCTGAGCTCAAGCAATCCTCCTGCCTCGGCCTCCCAGAGTGCTAGGATTATAGGGGTGAACCACTGCACCAGGCTTCTATCCATTTTAAACAAGCACTGCAACTGATTCTGATAGTGTGGGATTAATTTTGCTGTAGTTTGGGATGGAAATCAGCCTAGGTGGGATTAAAACGACCTTGCTGGGCTCAGCGCCTGTGGCTCAAGTGGAAGTGGCTAAGGCGCCAGCCACATACACCTGAGGTGGCGGGTTCAAATCCAGCCTGAGCCCACCAAGCAACAATGATGGCTGCAACCAAAAAATAGCTATGGAATTGGCTCGGCGCCTGTGGCTCAACCGGCTGAGGCGCCAGCCACGTACACCTAAGGTGGCAGGTTCGAATCCCCAGCCGGACCC